CAAACAAATAAATCATGAAACAAATGATTTCTATAAGCAAAGGCGCACAGCCTGTTCCTGTTATTATGCACACATCTACACAATAACTGATCACAGTGTTCTCTGCAGGAGAAGTATGCAAACCTAACCAAAACTTCAACACATTCCCCAGGACATACTTCTGAATCGAAATTAGATTCATCATATTTAAAATAGCCTACGGTATTCTTTCAATATCTGCAGGTCCAATAAGTAATTTCGCACTAGTGCTTTATCGGGTAAAATTGCTCATGGTGGTTCTACGGAATTGAGTAATTGTCAGTCACCGACAGCCACATGAACCCATTCGATCGATATTTTTTATGACAATTTTGCTTGAGTATCAAACTAAAATATACTGCTTTAAAAAAGTTAAAGAACATCGGATTCATCGCAAAATCAGTACAAAGCACAGCGGGCATATTCATTACCATTAACAATTAACAGATAGAGATTATGAGCCGAATATGTATTTGTATCATAAATATTATATATTAGGAATTTAACTATATTTAATTGTCTTTTGCGAGCTCTTTCTTTGCATAATACCTTTTATGCCGAATAATATGTACAACAGGACGACACATTCGGCTGGTAATCTATATTTGTCAATTCGGGGATTTTGAACCATTGAATGATAAATAATGTTATTGGCAGTGCATATATCAAGTCATTTCAATAGTTTTGTAACCATTTGAATGATATAAAATATTCTTTTCAGTGATGCTTTGGTGAGAATATTCTTTGTTTCGAGAGTAGTCCAGACAAATCAGGACAGGAGTATCTTGTCATGATGGAATCTATTAGATCTAGTATGACGTAGGTACATGGTGAGTTTGGGTAGCCAACTGCACACGAACTGATGCATGTGGCCAATACCAGCTGTTCTAGTCGAGGCGGTATAATAGACGCAAAGAGACATGCAAATGACACAAATGAGTTAGCGACGTCGATTAACACGGGCAGGGTGTGTAAGTGATGTCAGTTTGCGATGGACGTTGTCCACTATCTGCAGTTGACAGACCAGCGAGTGACGCGGTCAGTCCAAGATGAGACATCATTCTTGCGCCGAAGCATTTGCTGCAATGATTGCCATTTTTCTGCACAACGAGTGAGTGAGTGAGTGAGTTGGGTTTTAACGCCGCTTTGATAAGTATTCACGTTACATCACGGCGTCGCAGCTTAATGTGGGAGGAAAGCCCGAAGTGATGCAGGCCTTTATAACTTTGGTGAAACACTCGAGCACGGTCATGATTCTGACAGACCTAGAAACATCAAAGCGAACAGGTTTTAAGCGTACTCAAGGCACGCAACTCTCCAGAATAATCAACTAGATTTGCCTCTTTGAATTCATGGTACAGTAATAAATTCGAATTTATGTAATAGAAATTTGCCCCATGGGGATTCCGGGTTTGAATTGGTACCAATGTTGGTCATAAGAGGCGACTAAATTGGTCAGACTCGGGGTTTTGGTTAGCGCGTCATCTACGTGGATCGATGCTCGTAATATTAATTACTGGGTTGTCTGATCCAGACGAGATTATTTATGACAGGGTGTTGTCATATTGTTAGGTTATATGGGTGTGTGGCGTTAGACAACTTTAAACAAAAATAAACTTGAGTCTATGTGTTCTTTCCAAGGGATTCAGGGCCTCTTGAAAGTGGCGTTAAACCAAAATTACTCACTCACTCGGATTCCCGGGAAGAATGGGTGCCTATCATCCTATCTGAGTGTCGGGTGGTTACAAGGTCAGACCTGGCTCATTGGGTCGGGTTGGTGTAGGGGTCGACAAGCATTAGGTACGACGTACTCGAGACCCCTTTCTCGGAATTCCTGAAATTGGTGTATTTGTAATTATTTTTTCAAGGTCTACCGCTAATCCTTTAGAGAGACCACTCTGCTCCTCCAGTCATATGTAAGCGTTCTTTGACAGATGCATTCACAGTGAAGGCTTCATCAGTTCAAAATGTTCTCTAAAAGTTCAGACCGCTTCCGTGGCCCGGAGGAGAGGGGAAGGTCCGGGGTTCGATCCCAAAAGACGTTAAATGATGGTACTTGTTGTACCCTGTCTGGCGCTCGGCATTAATGGGCTAAATCAAGGACTTGCCGGCTCGGAGTCAGTATACTGTGTCTGAGTGGGATATTCATGTTAAACTGCGGCATGGTATCTCAGTGAGCTAGCAAACAAATCAGCATCAGTCCGGACTAGTACAAGCAGCGTGCATGTACGTCGCTATATAAGTGCAATAATTTTGGACGCGACGTGTAACCCCATTTCACCTCATCTCACCTGAACGTTCAGCTGGCCAGGTGCAAAAGGATATATTATGACCGCATCAATAAAGTGATACGACAACGTGACTTACACGAGTTACTTCCCCTGAACTACTTCGTATTTCGGGTCGACTGATGTTTTATATGTTATACCCTCAGAGGATGCGAATGCTTCTTCGAACTTTGGGTTTGTGGAATACTTTGTTAAGCCGCTGTTGATATAGTAGATCAATGATAGTCAGTGTCTGTTGCTATTAGTTTATTTCTGTGTTTCAATATACCCTAAAGTATATACCCTATGGGGATTCGGGGTACCCAGCAGACTGTTTGTCGTAAGAGGCGACTAAATTAATTCGGTGGTCAGGCTGTCCACTTCGTTGACAACGTGTCATCGCATCCCTATGACGTGGGGCGTTGCTCATAATATCATTCACTGGTTTATCTGGCCCCTTGATTATTTACAGTCATAAAGCGAGGACTGCAGTGAACTGGAGTCAGGAGTCTGGAGTCTGAAAAGTTGTTTATTCCAGTGTTTTCAATTTAAAAATGCGGGGATAGCGAGCTCGGCAAGGGAAGTGCTGGTCCATAACCTAAGCAGTTATTCTTCTTGGACCATGTATTCTTTTAAAGACGCGTATATTGTACGGGGTTTGTGTTTTATATTGCAGAATATTCGTTGCTGAATATTGTATATCTCGTTCGTATTGAAATCAATAATGATATTTTCTCCTCAGAAGGTGAGTCGTTTACAGCCTTGAAGATAGGGGAAGAATAGGAGCGAAATGCCCCGGGTCTTAGATTCTTATAATTACGCAAACCATTTCTTTAAATGTCGACGTTAGCTTGAAGTCGCGGTGTATTTTGGGTTTATTAGATCAGTACAGCTTTTTCATCAACAGTTTTAGGTTGCCTGGCAACGATTTAAAATCCTAAGGTGTTGTGAAGCACTCAAATAATGTAATGATATGTGTGATTTCTTGCACCCTTTTTATCCAGGTAGAAGCATAATATTTGAAATTCTAAACCTTATAATACAACACAAACACATGTCATATTGTACTTTTTACAAGGATGTACATAAACCCACCACCACCCGACCACTATCTGAATAAACTTATTGACATAGTGACAGTGAAAGTTGTTTAACGCAGCATATCAACCTATGCTTGACTAATGGGATCGGATGGCAGGCTCTCTGACTTGGTTGATGCATGTCATCGTATGCTAACTGCCTAGATGGATCCTCATGAGAGGCGTTAAAGAACAAACAAACAACATCTGTATCACAGCGAGTCTGGTCGAGAGGTGAGGTGAGGTGAAATGGGGTTTAACGTCGCGTCCAAGATTATTGCACATATATAGCGTTATGTCCGTGTGTGTGTTTGTGTGGCTGCTTGTACTAGTCCGGACTGATGCTGATTTATAGTGCTAGCTCACTGAGATACCATGCCGCAGTTTAACATGAATACCCCACTCAGACACAGTATACTGACTCCGAGCCGACCAGTTCTTGTTTTAGTCCCTTAATGCCGAGCGCCAGACAGGGTAACAACAAGTACCATCATTTAACGTCTTTTGGTATGACGCGGCCGGGGATCGAACCCAGGACCTTGGTCGAGAGAAACTAATAATTAATACCAACATGATCAACATGTGACAGTGACATGCTGTATACACATCACACACTGTACCTAGTGGGTCGTATTTTAGGCAGTTCTGGAAGCGGTATTCGCCATCTGCCGTGTTTCGTTTCGAATGTACGCACCGGAAGTGAAGATTTATCCGGGGAGACAACTCTGTCTAATTTCCTTAGGGTTTCTAATTGAGCCTATAGCTACCCAGGTGGTGTTTTCAAACACTGATACAATGTATGACTCTCGAGTCTGGTTCTTCCACGGTGCTTTTTTTGCTGAAATGTTGCAAACATCGACGTGAATTACGAAACGATGTAAACAATGTAATTTGCATTTGTTTTGGTAAAGTACTAACTTTAGTACTTTTTGGGTTGAGTCCCATCCGGATTTCGAACCCATACTCTCATAGGCACGTAATCCCCAGGACCCAAAGTCAGCAATCTAACCCACTCCCACTCCTACTCCCCCTCCACTCCCACTCCCACTCCCACTCCCACTCCCACTCCCACTCCCACTCAAGTCCGACAACTCCGTTGTAAACAATGGATGCTGGTAACGTGGCCAAATTGACAGTATGTTCGTTCACTCACACTGCACTTAGTTCGATTCCATTACGACGGAAGGAATATGGGTACTGTAATACCATGGCTTACTTGGGGAAGGGTAAACAATCAACTCACAGTGAGATATCCCTTATGTAACACCGCTGTATACGTGACATCACAAACTGCACGGTGTAATAGTTATACTGTACTCAAAGACTAACTAAATGTGGTCGTATCGATTTATCGATAACTGAATATTGATCATAAATCAATGATATTGACTATGTGGCTTTACATGTTCACATATTTCCTATATACAAAACAAAGACATTCTTATGACAGATCTGGATAGATTGATAGTTTTAATGCGTAATATGGTAGAATAAAGTCACATCTCAAAGTTATTTCCGATTAAAATTGCTTTAATTTCAGATTAGACGTTTCACCAAAATCTACGTAAAGAATAAACAAATTGTTAGAGCACAACTTGAATTTGAATTTTTGAATTTTCGATTTTTTTAAAAAAAATTGTGTTATACAGTAAAAGATGTTGAAAAGCCTTCAGAATCTATCTTCAACCAATTGAAACACCCTTACACGTTACATTTCCCAAAACTATGGACATCATTGCCTCTTAAATATTGATAATACGATAAATAAGATGCGAGTAACTTTGACTTTGAGTATGTTCATACCCAATGTTGCAGACAGTTAGTTACACAATGAGTGTTCAGGCAGTGACTCGCGGTCAGCATCAGAACTACAAACACACTGCAAACAACGTGGATGGAAGCTGGTGATTCTGTGTGGGTCTTTCATGACGACTCATCATTTCAGAGTTCACAGATCCATGGACAATGGTTGGTTCATAAATACCTACAAATACATACAAACACTACAAACATCATTTCTTGAGAACAACACGTGGGACGCCGAAATACACGAACTCCTTCGTCCCTAGACAACCCGGCCCATTAGGAGCTGAGTTTTCACTTGGTCCATAAGATCTATGGCCACCGCGATAGTCGGATAACGGGTTGGTCTGTTTGGTCGGGTTCATCATAGATTGTGCTATCTCCTTTGAACCCTTTTCGTATTTAATCAATTGTCTCAATGGAACATTAGTTAAAGATCTGCCCAGAGGATGCTCCCGAAAGTCGTTGTCACTGAACGATTTTGCTTCATCTACAATTTTTCCGTTCACTGCGCTTCTCCACATCGTCCATAGATGAAGGTTCTTCATCGGGTCAAATGCCTTCTTCAGTGCTTCCTCGGGTTTGATCTTTCCTTTCACGGGCTTGTCAGGCAAACGGTCAGTTTCCGATATCTTCGACCTTCTAGTGGACACAGAGGGGGGTTTCTTGGCCATAACTGGAATAGGAAAAGAGATTATGTTAGTTTAGTGACACTGTGCTATTGTGTATTGGGTAAATAAATAGTTCATATGTGTATCTGATGGCTGCTGATTATTTATCATAAGCTGACGAGAAAAATAACTTATACACCGATTTTTGATTGGGGTTAAAAGCGAAACAAACAAGAAATGGTTATTTGATAGTGGTGTATTTGATACGGATATCCCATTTGATTTTTGGACCTAAAGTTTCCTGTGTATCGGCGACTGTTTTCAGCCTTATAACGTTTTCATAGCGTTTGAAATGTTTGGGTGAAATCAAATTTTCAAGTGTATACTTTCTTTTGCCAGGCAGATTACAATTGATAGATTTCTCGGGAGGATAATGACAACGCATAACAAGAGTTTGCCACTAACGTGGCTATATCCCCCGCCCCTGTTACAGAATTTATGACATAAATCTAAAAAAACGCTAACTTTTTTTAAACGAGGTGGAACTTGTCATGGAAATTGTAAAAAAAAGAAGAGTTTGGAACCTAAGTCCATCTTGTTGCCATGGAAACGTAAACAATAAAAAATTCTAAAATTTCTAAATAGCAAAAGGCATCAGTTCAGCATGTACCTGACAGACCTGCAAAGTTTCATGAAAGAATATTGAATGGTTTCTGAGTTATGCTCCGGAAACGAAACGTGACGGACGTACGTACGGACGGAGCCCGTTTCTATATCCCCCGCCAACTTTGTTGGGCTGAGGATAATAAGGTAGGCCTAACCGTGGGATTATTTACGGATAATTATGCGAATACAAAAGGTCGGGTAGGTACTGCTTTACAAACAATCATGGCATCGCCATTATTTACAGGGGATATGGTCTTGACAATCAGGAATGTGGACCATTCTTGCATTATTGTTATCATTGTCAAATTATAGTCTATGTTACCGAAAATCAGCGTCTAACTAGGGCGTAGAGTCGTCAACATTGGAAATATGAATTGGGAAGCAATAAAGCGAAGACGAGCAGCGCCCGAGAATGCATTGGGGATAAGTTTCCATATCTGCGCCTGTTGACCTCTGCGGCTTGGGGTCTTTTTTTCCAAATTTAAAACTGTTTACAGTTTGTGTGGGATATCCGACCGCAGTTCGTGACCTGACCAGGCAGACGTCTCATGGACTAGAGTAGCTTCCCTTTGAAAAAGGGCATTTGCTCTAGCGGAGGGACAGATGGATGGCCGTGAATGGCTGCCAAATGAGAAAGATTTTTACCTTTGAAAAAATATACTGTGTAGGCAAAACTTTATTGTCTTTATCGTAGTTACGCCATTGTCTAAAAACAAGTTGGAAGGATATTGCGTGCTGTCACTGTCCTACAGACTAATCACTGATATTATGATGTAATATATTTATTTGCGTATTCCAGAAAAATGCAATCTCGCTCTTTTCGATGATAAAATATAAGCAGGTTATCACGCTTTTGTGTTTTGGGACAGTAAATACCATGTATTACGAATAAAAACTCTGTACTTGGCTTATTAATACAGGGTTTATTCCTAATACAATATGTTTACCTTCCTAAAGGTCAATATCCCGTGTTACGAATAAACACGATTTATTTTGTTCGCCAAGACTCGCGAAATACAATCTTTGTTCCTAATACAAGATATTTACCATCCCTAAGCACACTCGCGTGCTAACCTCCGAGTATTAGATAAATAAAGATGGTTTCCTGACCCTATGCAGGCCACGGAGTGTAGACACGCGGGTGTATTGATTGATAAATGGACAATCAGAAGGAAGTATCTGTTAGTAAGCAATTGGATCGAACAGATTGATGGGAATACAAGAACATACACTCGTATAATAAAGACTGGTAGAAATACTAGAACATAGATATACATGCATATAGATATACAAGAACACACATATAGGCAGATGGGTAAGTATAGTTAGATATAAGACAGACGGGGTAGACATGCTAGACCATTTTTATTTAGATATACACAGATGAGGCAGAGACACGAGAATATAGTAACAAATTTAGGAGGATGGGGTACACATACGAGAACATAGTTAGATATACAGACGGATTTGGGACGACATACGAGAACATAGTTAGATATTCAGAGAGGTGGGGTACACATACGAGAACATAGTTAGATATACAGACGGATTTGGGACGACATACGAGAACATAGTTAGATATTCAGAGAGGTGGGGGAGACATACGAGAACATAGTTAGATATACAGAAGGATGGGGGAGACATACGAGAACATAGTTAGATATTCAGAGAGATGGGGTACACATACGAGAACATAGTTAGATATACAGACGGATTTGGGACGACATACGAGAACATAGTTAGATATTCAGAGAGATGGGGTACACATACGAGAACATAGTTAGATATACAGACGGATTTGGGACGACATACGAGAACATAGTTAGATATTCAGAGAGGTGGGGGAGACATACGAGAACATAGTTAGATATACAGAAGGATGGGGGAGACATACGAGAACATAGTTAGATATACAGACAGGTTGGGAGACGTGCGAGAACATAGTTAGATATACAGACAGATGGGGTATACATACGAGAACATAGTTAGATATACAGACAGATGGGGGAGACATACGAGAACATAGTTAGATATACAGACAGATGGGGAGACACGAGAACATAGTTAGATATACAGACAGATGGAGAGACACGAGAACATAGTTAGATATACAGACAGATAGGGGAGACATACAAGAAAATAGTTTGATATGCAGATTGATGGATAGACATACGAGAACATATACACAGACAAGCTATCAAGCCAACAAACACATATGATTAAAAACAGAGAAGTCAACAAACGTACACCCGTACAAACATATGACAAGATGGAAGGAGACACAAGAAGATCGACAGACATAATATAAGATAAATCTAAGGAATAAACATACATGAGGATGGATGGTGACACGCGCAGATGGACACACGTGCAAGCAGATACACAGATGTTGAAGCATATGCAGAGGATGACTGAACTATTGGGTTTGTGGCACGATATCATGGATACCCGCCCATGTTGAGTTTATAAATCACAAACTGCACAGCTGAACTATTGAAATGGGCGTGGTCATATAAGTCTATTACTGCTCGTTCTTTTATTGTAGCACCTTATCGTTGTTCAGCCCAAACCAAGAATGAATATGCATTTACTGTGCGACTCTGATTGTTTGTTAAGCACATAAGGCTCTTGACACATTACATGTTTGTTCCACAGCGCCAAGGAGATGTCATGTAACGATCGTGTAATTGTTTTGAAGAGTGAGTTAGTTGGGGTGAAGATATTATTTCAGTCAAGCCATGGGTTCAGATTCATATCAACGCAAGAGTCTAAAACCCGTGATGTTTGGAGCTGAAACACCGAGAATCATAATTGGAAACGATCTGTATTCAAACACGGTTGTTATTCACATCGAGTTTCGGCATTTGGCCGAATGTCCATCCTCGCCGTTTAATAAATTATCACCGCTAAATCGGAACACAAAGTTTATCGTAAACTATCGATTCAGACTGAATCACCATGAAATACTTGCAATATATAAGCCCCTTCGCAAGACAACCAATGCTGACTTGATCGCCTCTTGAGTGAGTGATTAATTGAGTGAACGAGAGATGGTTGGTTTATAGCCACTTTCATAGCCGCTTTGCATATTTTTTTTTATTTCAGCTATGACACCGCTTTCAGTTTGATGTGGGTCTCAGCCGTTAAATGTTTTGGTAAAGCCCACGAGCATAAGTGTGTGTAACCACCAACGATTATATTTCGGGGGAAACGAGGATGGAACCTGCAACCAGTGGATCAATTGTGTTTCTATTTACACTACTTGGCCACCCATGCACCCATGAAAACTGCAAAACCGCAATTATCAATAACTTTATATACTGAACCACAAAAGAAACGTCACCATGGATAGATATATGAGAAACTTCATTTATCCAAACACTGTAAACATACTTTGAGACATATTATAAAGATGAAACTTGGCAAAACTGATCATGAAGGTTGAAATTAAAGTGTCAAATGTTCTTAAAGTGAAACACAACACTAGTGTCTGAGAAAATGGCATCACAAGTCAGTATCTCGTGTTTCCTCCATGTGCATTGATGATTTCCGTGCAGCGTCGATGCATTGAATGGATGAGGCGGTTGATGAAGGCTATAGGCACTTGAGCCCACAATCTGAGGAACGCCTGACCTTATTCAGCTGCATTTGTCGGCCTTGGTCGGACGTCATTCAGCAGTCTTTGAATCTCGCCCCCCCCACAGGTGCTCAATGGGATTTAAATCGGAACTGAGGTCAGGCTACTGCATGGTTCAAATGCCATTCTGCTGGAGGAAGTGTGGGCACGGGCGTTATCATGCTGAAATTCGTGGTTGCGGCGACGTGCCAAATGAGGTATAGCCTGTGGTCTCAAGACTTGATCAATGTACCGAGCTGCTGTGACACCATTGACTCTTCCTGGACCGATGTTCTGGAAGACCACAGGGCCGACCCTCTGTGCAAGACCAATTCAACCCCACACCATCATGCTCGGACCACCCCACGAGTCTCTCTCAACAACACAAGCATCCGAATAACGTTCCCCACGGCGTCGCCAGACTCTCTCTCTCTCTCTGCCATCTGTTGTTGAGATACAGCAACGAATGAATGTTATCCGATCTGGGTGGATTTTTATTGGGGAGAAATTGGGGTACGCATATGCATTTAAATTTGCACGGAACTCACGTGCATCGGGTTACCATGGCCGTTGCTGTGCGATCGGTTTTATTGTCACCCGCTTTGGGTTTTTTTATCATCAAATTTCGTTTTCCGGACAAGGTAATGTCAAATTTTAGAAACTTTGACCAACATAACCCAGATATTTAAATGACAACTTTTCATGCAATGTCACTTGGGGTGACGTTTCCCTTGCGGATCAGTATATAATAATTCCTACTGAACAGACAAACTTGGCAAGATG